ACCCTTTATCATACTACCTTGGAAGAACTGAAAATTTACAGGTCCCTAGAAGTGTCTCTGAAAACAGCTGCACAAAACCCCCGAAGCTTGGGACAGTACTTTCTCCACACTGGAAGCAGACCCCTACCTTAACAAAGAGTTTAAAACTCAAGTAATTGGCTTAGATCATGAGAAAACCGTGCAAAAAAAGTCAGATCATAGAATCTTTCTTTGGTGACAAAGAACATCGAAACATACAACCAGAAGACTACAACAAAGTCAAAGCTACTACATATAAAGCCTCCAAGAAAAATATGAATCAGTCCCAGGCCATGGAAGAACTCAAAGAAAAGCCTGGAAGATAAATTTATCTGAGCATTTGGAAGGAGCTATATAATTATATAGTGCTAATATTCTAATAGGGGGAGAAGAAAGAAGTGTCCCTTCAGAACTTTGACATTATCATAGGGTATTGATAATGTGTTAACTAAGAAAAATACAAGTGGTTCTGTTTAGCAGGAGTGGCTTAGTTCTGTTTTGACAGTTCAAAGAGGAGAAAGAAAATGGGGAGTAAAAGAAATACACCAAGTGTACAAAGGAGGAAGAATATATAGACTTGCTGTTTCCCATAATTGGGGTGTGTGACGATAAGGAGTAAGAGAAAGGGGGAGTGGACATTAGATGAACCTCACTATTATCTGAAACAAAGGAGGGGGTGAGCACATTTCAGTGTAAAAATACATCAAACTCAGTTCTAATAGAGAAATAAGCTTAGACAGGGAGCGGGAAGTTAAGAAAAAGGATAATGCCAGGGTGGAAATAACCATAAGCAAAAGAAACTCCCTGTTCGTAAGACGACATTTGAAGACAGCAAGGAAATAGCATGGAGTAATTGATTAGAAAGCTGGCTGTGAAGTCAGGAAGACCTGGGTTCAAGTCCTTCCTTTGACATACACTGACTATGTAACTATAGGTAATTCACTTAACTTCTCAGTATTCTAGACACGGAGACAATAAATTGCACAGCATATGCCAATCTGCATTAGCAAAGGGAATTTACCCCCTGAGAATGAAATCACAGTTCTTATCCAAAATCCAACATGGAAGTCAAGGCATATTTAATAATACTATCCACCTCTCAACCATCACCCAGTGCATCATAATAAACAAATGTGCATACTATATGTGTGTAACTATATATGTCCATATATGTCTATATTTTGTGTGTATGTAGTTTTAGGTAATTCTGTCATCACATAAGTATATGCTGAACATCCTTATCTAGAGTACATATATGATGCGTCTTTATCCACAGTGATTATTTTAATAGGAAAATGGATTTAGAGCTAGATGGATTCTTGAGGCTTATCTAGCCCAAACTACTCATCTTACAGATAGAATAACTGAGACCCAGAGAGGGGTCACATAGGTAGGAAGTGGTAGAGCTAGGATTTGAACTCATGTTCTTTGACTCTAGACCTAGCAACATTTCCACTTCATATTTGTACAAGACCTTACAGTTGTCAGTGTTTCCACATCCATTGCCTAAATTGATTTCACATTGTTAGGGTCTAAAGGGTCCTATACCTATTAGATATCATAATTATAAATAATAAAAATTAAATATCTATTAAATTTGATTTTTGCAGTTCCACAAGCAGCTATTTGATAATATGTAAAGATTTTTATTGCCATGCTAATCTTGATTTAAAATCCCAGTAATTCAATTCCCTATACTCTGGAGAGAATTATGATTTTGTTATGACTTTGTTTTTTGTTATGACTTTTCTGGTGTGTTTTTTTTTTATTTCAACCTAGATCCTAAAAATGGCATTAGTTATGTAAGAATATATTGAGTTCTGACTTCAGGAATGATTTAGGTGGTGCAGTGGATAGAGCACCAGGCCTGGACTCAAGAGGACCCGAGTTCAAATCAGGCCTCAGACAAGACACTTAACAATCACTAGTTGTGTGACCCTGGGCAAGTCACTTAGCCCCAAATACCTCACCAAAAAGAAAAAAAAGGAATGATTTAAGAGAAAACGGGAAAAGGAGATGATCTAGAAAGAAGGTGTTAATTGAAAACAGGTTCTGTCTCTGTTAGTGCCAATGATGTGTGGTACAGTAGAGAGCACAATAGCTGGAGCTAGAATTTATTTTCTCATTACCTTAAGTAATGAGCATCTTAGCCTCCTCTAACTGGTAATATGAAGTGTTCTACAATTGCTTAGGCAACTTGGAGGCAGGATAGGGGCTTTTAATGCTTATAATCTGTTTATTATTTTAGATGACCTAACGATCATGCTCACCACTCAACTTTTCACCTTCCTACTCACTGCTGTGAATTACTAGAAACAAGAGTATCCAAGTTGAAGTCAGGGGTCCTTGTTATCTTCCTCTATCCTGCCCAACAAATTTCACAGTCATAGTATTTTTGTATGGTATAAAAATACTAAATCTCCACAACATATTATAGTTATTAGTATTCTTATTTATTCCCAAAGATTGTAAACTCTTTGACAGCACACATCCTGTTAATTTGTTAATCCTCCCTGGTGCCAAAAGATGATGATGATAATGATGATGATGATAAATGAATAAGTAAATCATAGAATTTTAGAGATGGAAAAGACCTTGGAGATCCTCTAGTGCAAGCCCCTGGTTTTACAACTATGGAAAGTAAGGCAAAGAAGTTAAGTTATTTTCCTAAGATCATACAGCTGCTAGAACCTAATAATGAAGCAGCTAATTTTTTTTCACTATGCCAAATTTTTGTTGAATTGAAATACATTGCAAATAAAGCCTTTGAACTCAATAGCTATGACCCAGGCATGTTTCTGAGGGGAAAAATTGTTATAGCATGTTTTATTTAATCCTTTCTAACAAAAATTCTAAATGGAAGTAACAACTAAGATAAATCTGAAATTTAACCAGAATGGTTTAAAAGGGAAGAATATGGAAGAGGGAGACCCTTATATCCCTTTGGGACCTGAAAGCCAAAAAGAAGGTACTTTAAAAAAAAAACATTTTGGGAATGCTTTGCCTGAAAGCAACCTGTTCACATGTGAATCACTGACCTTTCGTGAATTCTATAGGAGTACCCTCCCCGGCTTCAACTGCAGCTAGATTAGATGGTCCCTTCGTCAAATCAGCAAGCATTTGTTAAGCACTTATAAATGCCATTCTTACATCATGGCACCAGGAATTGAACAAAATACTCAAGATATAATCTGATGAGGGCTCTGCAGAGGACTACCTTCCCCCTCCCCCCATTTTGGAAAATGTTTCTGTCAATATATCCTAAGATTACATTAGCCTTTGGGGCTGCCTTTTCAGCCTGCTAACTCACACTAACTTCCTAGTGTACTTAAAAACAAATCACTAGATTTCACTCATGTGAGTTATTATCCAACCAAGGCTTTCCTGTCCTCTTTAGAGTATCACATGATCATAGAATTTAATGCTGAAAAGAACCTTAAAAGTAATTTAGTCTAATCTCTCATAGGAGGAAACAGACTCAGATAGCTTGTTCTTTGCCCAAGTTCATAAAAATACTAGTTGGTAAAACCGGAATTTGAACTCAGGTGTTCTAAACACTAATATTTTTAGTACAAGTATAGGATTTTTATTGATCTCTCTTCAATTTTAATATATTAGATTTGTACTTTTTATTGAGACCTTTTTGTACCCTATTCGTATCCAAATGAAACTTTTTGTATTCTGTCATCCCAAATGTTAGCTGAATCCAATAAGCATGCTACATATGCCTTCATCCAAGTTTTGTAAAAATGGTGATCTGCATAGGACCAAGCATGAAGTCCTACAGCAGTCTACTAGAAATTTCCCTCCAGGTTAACATTGACCCATTAATTTCCATTCTCTTTTCAGTTTGATCATTCACCCAGTTCCAAATCTACCTAAGTATAAAACCCACATCACCATCTAGTTCATAAAGATATCATGAGAAATTACATCAAATGCCTTAACGTCAAATATAGTGTGCCTATGCCATTAGTCTACTAGTATAGTAATCATGTCAAAAGAGGAATATGGTGAATATGGCATCACCTGCTCTTGAAGAACCAATATTGGTTCTTAGTGATCAACTCTCTCTTTTCTATGTTCTCATAAACATTCCTTTAATAGTGCATGCGATAATTTTCCTGGAAATCAAACCCAAGAATTTCATTATTGAGAATATTATCTGTCTTTTGAATATATGTCCCCTGAAGAATTTTACATCATTGATGCTATGTATTCTTTTTTTCTGAACTTTTGTATTCAGCTCTCATAACATATAGGGTAACTTATATTGCATTCAAGTTTCTCTTATTTTACCTACCATGAACTCTAAGTTGAAGAATTTTACTTTATCAGCCTTCCTATTGGTCAAAATTGATCAGAAGGCCAACTCTCATTATGTAGATGAAAAATCAGGGAACAACTTTAGCTTCAATGAAATACATACAAAAGTACTGCTATAGGCCCACCAGGTTACTTCCATCTCTAATGTCAAATGTAAAACTCAAGTAATTGGCTTAGATCATGAGAAAACTGTGCAAAAAAAGTCAGATCATAGAATCTTTCTTTGGTGACAAAGAAAATTGAAACATACAACCAGAAGACGACAACAAAGTCAAAGCTACTACATATAAAGCCTCCAAGAAAAATATGAATCAGTCCCAGGCCATGGAAGAACTCAAAGAAAAGCCTGGAAGATAAATTTATCTGAGCATTTGAGACCTTTTTGCAAATCATTTATGCAAATCATTTTGTAAACTTCTAATGTCTAAACTGAAAGCAAGTTGCACATCTTTTCAGCTATCTGGGCAAGCAGAAACCTTTGCAGCTTGCCATATGAAGTCGATGAACAGCAGGATATAGACCAAGTGAGCCTACTTACCAAGTGCACTTTTAAAGATCCTTATAAACATGGTAGTCTGTAGGCCTACTTATAAAGATAGAGCCAAGTGGAAAGCATCAGCTACTCCTCATGAGTAAAATAATATTTATTGGGGTATAACAATGCCCAAGGGCTTGGTGAACTAAACAATCAAAATCAAACTCTGCCTTTTACAGTAATAGGTATCAAACTAGAGCCCCAAATACCATTTAAACTACAACCAAACTGAGTAAATTTTATGGTCTTGCTTTTTATGACTGTAGACATATACACTAGCTATCAAAATCACTTTAATTTTGAAGCTCACTCCAGGCCTGAAACAAAATAACCCAAAAGCTCCTATTACCGTAATTTAACAGAAAGCAGAGCTATCTTTTCTTCAGCTATGACAACACAATGTCATAAATACAGCTGCTTTTCATCCATAATAACATAAACAATAAACATGCTGCCATTCACTAGGGTTTTAATAGTCAATACACGTAAGCAATATTGTGATCTAATGGGCTGCATCTGTTTTCTTCAATCTTTTTCACTTTACTCTTCATTCTTGTCCTCGTCAGAAAAATGAGGCACAGACTTCTTTGCCACCACATTGTCCAGTCTCTGCCCTTGCAGATAGGGGTTCACATTCTGAAAAATACATAGTTTAGTGATATAAAAAAGGATCAATTATGCATAACACAGGAAGACATATGGAAGAAATGTATTATGATATGTCTACTACGTGAGCAAAAAACCCTATAGATATAAGCTGGACCACTATGACGGGCTTTATTGAAGGGACATATTGATTGAATTATTATTCCAGGGTGCTAACTAGAACTTATGTTTCTAACTTAAAACTGTGGGGTAACTAACAATCAACCTTCCCCCTCCCCACAATCTGACTTATTTTATCAGTGCAATATGAATGCTTGGGTGAATAAGCTTTCCAATAGCCTAGCTATTGATCCCTATACACAGGAAAATTCTCATGCTATATTCCTGTGGGCGGTTTTACTTATTTATTTTTGGTTTATCAAATACTTTATTAAAAAATATCTCTGAAGAACATTTATAAGCACACTAGAATTGAAATTAAAATTCAAAAACTACTGAAGAGACTTTTTCATTGTCGTAAGTGATCTTTTTTTCCATTCAAGTACTAAATAGTGGTGGAGATGCATAGTAGGAGTTGCGAGTACTTACATATATCAAGTTGGTCAAATTCAAAAGCTATACACTTTGGGAAGAGCCTGTATGACCATTGCTGGCCTCTATATTTTGTAACACTCTTCCATCTGGTGGTATGCTGAATGAGTCAAAGTTTCAAAGTTTTTCCATTGCTGCTCCAACTCACATCTATTTTGCAGTATTTGGAGCTGCAGCAAGTAATTGGAGCCTTGCAATATAGTCTTTAGCAGGAAGTAAAATTGTTGCAAAAGCTTTTGAAGATATTTGTTTACTGAAGAGTCTTTCCAATGACCCAACAAAAAATAAGAAAAGGGCTTTGGGATTTTATGATTCCAGAAAGATCAGCAATTCAGTTACACATGAAATTCACAAAGACAGACTCACCAAGGCAACATTTTGCAGGGGCTTTGTGTCCAGATGGGGCTCCATGTTGGTCAAAAAGTCACATTTCCTTTCTAAAGGCTTCATCTGGAGGTGCTATGCTCACTTACAGCACTTAACTAAGCATGCTCCCCTAAATATTAGATTGGGGATCAGTTTTTGCAGCTGACAGCTAAATGACTCAATCATGGGAAGGTTTTCAAGCTCTCTTGCTAGCATTGCATCCTTTCTTGTTGGGGCTCTACTTCAAAGCAAGTCAAGAATGGGCTCAGAAGTGAGACAGACCAACCCAGTTGAAATTTGTGGAAATTCCTGCATGAAGGGTGATATGTTATTTTTTTAAGTCATTTTCTGGGAAATCAGCTTCCTAGGTAAATTTAAATGCTTTTTAGACTAAATAAAGGGGAGCTCTCCAATATTAATTGAATATGTGTAAAGACCGAACAGCGAGTAAGACATTTAAAGGTTGACTGAAAAGTGTTTTACAAGTGAAAAATTTGAATGTTTGGTTGGCTCTGGATGATCACATAAAGTCTCATCTAAACCATATGCAGCACTTTGGACTTAGATGGAAGGTTAAGGAGATTACCACTGGCAACAGGTTTTTATGTGACATTTTAATGTTTCCCCATCTACCCAGACCCAGGAAGTGCCATATTGAGGGGTAAGGGAGGGAAAGGTGGTGAAGGCTGGGAATAGGAAAAATAACAGGAAGGGAGAGAAAAGGAAAAGGGAATTTATTTGAATGTTTTTTAAAGCACCCAAAAAGTTCTACTCCAATTCAATGCCTCCATTTGTGAGAATATTTCAGTTCCCTATTAAAACTAGCTTTTATGATCCAGCAAACAGACTAGCAGACACATGCTGGGAAAGCAGGATCACATTATGAGAGACAGTACACCATAATGGGGAGTAGCACATACTGGACTGAAAATGGGGAAGAGTGGGGTTCCAATCAGATACTCACCAGCTACGTGACCACAAGCAAGTTACTTAACCTCTCACTTTCCTCATCTGTATAATGGGGATAATAATAACACCTCCTTCACAAGTCTGCTATGAGGCTCATAGGAGATAATGTGGGTAAAACACTTGGTCAACCTAGAAGTGCTCTATAAATGTCAACTTTTTGATTATTTTTATTATGTGTAAGCACTGCCACTCGCTCAGATATGCCTCTGTACTAGTTGCTCAGTTTCCCTGGGATTCAACTTCTTCACCTGTAAAATGAGAATAATACCTTGTGTCCCTCACAGGGTTGGCATAAAAGAAGAGTTACAAAATAAAATAATAATACTAAAAGTAACTAGCATTTATATAGCACCTTAAGGTTGCAAAGTGCTGTCTATGACATCTCATTTCATTCTCACAAGAACCCTATGAGGTAGGAACTATTTGTTATCCCTATTTTACAAGTGAGGAAACTGAGGTGAGGCACCAAGCATTTATTAAGCACCTACTATGTACCAAGCACTTTGACTGACACTGATTAAGTGACTTTTCCAGGGTCCCATAGCTGCTAAGTGCATGAGGCAGGATTTAAACCTGCCTCACCCTCACTCTTTGGAAACCATAATTTGTCACCATAATTCTTTGGAAACACAGAATCACTGAAATCCAAAGACATAATTTAAAATTTTTGGAATAGGCAGGCATTTGATGGATAACCAAACCTTAATATTCTGTTCTACCTCTTAACAACAACAATCAGTGAAGAATTCTCTGTTTTTTATCTAGCATCTTTCTTCTGAAGAAATGAAGGTACTTTTATGTCATACTGTCACTCAGCCAAGAGGTAAGGAGGGACAAGAATTTTATCCCAATTCACAACTAGAAGGATTGAGACGCGGTGAAGTTTGATTCGTCCTTGATCATACAGTGCATATAGTTAATGGAGCCAGACCTAGCACTCAAGTCTTCACTTGCTTTTCTTTTTCTTCCTTTCCTCTGGAACAAAAATAAGAATTGGATCTCTGCTCTTGATTTTTTGTCTGGAAACCCACAACCTATGCTAAGCTTCTTTGGGAGAAGTCTTGCTTTTAAACTAGTCCAGAACTTCTTCTTTCTGAATCATGGACTTAATGAGATGGTTAAGGTCTTCAATCAAACTGTGAAGGCCATCTGAGTACTGATTATAGGGAAGGCAACTTCTGTTACCCAAGAGAACTGAGACCCAATACTTCTGGCTTGAGGACATGATCTTTGTATGCTCCAGGAGAACAGACAGTACTTGATACCACTGGGTCACATTAACCTTCATGGACATAAATTCTAGGCCTTTTCCATGTGAAGGAAGTTGAGGCTAAAATATAAACCCTGGACAAAGTTCCAAAATTTTGATATCTGAGTTTCATAAGGATAAGATCTAAGTAGTCACCCACTGACATCCCCTAAGGAAGGACCAAAAGGTGGTGGGATAGGGAGTGGAGAAAAACTGAGGCTCTTTGCTGAAGTTCCTGCAGATGTCATTTATATACCATGGAGAGTAGAGGAAATGGAAATCATGGGTACCTTCTTGGTAAATCTCCATATAATGGCCATTTACTAGCATAATTATAAGGATGTAGGGAACTCTGCATGTTCCTCCATGATTACTACTCCCTAGGCCCTTTTCTACCTGCAACTAGAAGATTGCAAATGAAAGTCTTATTCATTCTCAAATGGCAAAGACTCCTAAACAGGGTAATTAACTCTGCCAAATAAGGTATTTTTCCATCCTTTTGATACCTTGCGAGTCTCTCTTATAAATCCTAAAGCAAAAAGGGGGTATCTGTTCCTTCTCAGGCTGAGGCAGAAGCTTGGAGCTCTGTGACATGGGAGCTATGGGGATAAATGATGTTGCTGGACAGCCTATACAACTCTAAGGCAAGAAGAATCAGTAGTAAGGAAATAGATTGGATAACACTATTCAGAACAATTTGCAACTATTATTATCTAGTTCCCCGACCTCTGATAGAGCCCAACTATATGTTTTGTATTTCTGTATTAACAGTCTCTGTGCGATAAGCTTGTGATGGTATCATTGGTTTGCTTTTTTAAAATTCAACACAAAATAGGTGTTGACTTGATAACAGTCGTATTTTCATCTAATGGGAAGGGGTAATAGATAGACTGTAAAACTCCTTTAAGGGTAAAGTGGCATAGCGAAACTCCACCTGTTCAACTTGTAAGCTTCAGTGCTTAAAAAAATTCATTAAAAACCCAAGTCCCTTCAGTTCTCTTCAAGGAAATGTTGTAAGAGTCAAACAAGAATATAAAAAGTTGAGTCCACATTGGATGACTAGGGTGGGGAAATGATGGTGAAATCTTCAAGCAGAGATAAATGTGACAAGTGGCAAATGAACATAGCTCAGTAAGAAAATTTTACCATAATCTGGTCAGGAAAAGACAAGAGTATGTCTAGGCAAATTGAATGAGGAAATTGTTGAATATAGCTTCTCTAACATAATGCTCATATAAATTACTATTTGAACCATGGAATTTAGCCCTTGACTTTATTTCATCACTTTGTGAGTGTTTCACAAGTGTAAACTGTCTCCTCAACCAGGCTGCACGCAAGTTTATCACATGGAGACTTCATACAGAAAAACAAATAGTAGGGCCCCATCAAAGGTTTGTGGGCAGAGCTCATTTTAGTGGACTCTCTGAGATCTCCCACAGTACCCAGCACAAAGTTAGGAACAGAGTAAGCACTTAAGGAGTTTCCAATGAATTGAAACTATAGCAGCTATGAGGCCTGTGGTTCTTAACACTGTGGTCCAAAGTTGTGGTAGCCAGAGAACCTGGTATGTACTTTCAGAGCAAGGTCCCTCTTCATGCTGGACCACTCCCCTAATTTTTCATAAATGCATATGATGAGACTCTCAGGCTGCTTCAGAACAACCTGAGGTCTCACCATTTGTCAATAACCCTCTTCAGATAACAATCACATAGAAAAATAGTCAAGCAGTTGATTGTACGTTACCCTCCTTCTCCGTCTCTGTCCACCCTTCATCTTTTCGTAAAGAAGCTTCTTGTTCTAAAGAGGGGGAAGGGAGGAGAGAAAAAAAAACATGCAGAAGTATGGATCAAATTTGGTGAATGTCTATTTTAAAAGCAATACTCTGCGTTTCCTGTGAACATTTGCATACACATATTTTGGAACAGAACCAGATGAAAAGAATGTCGTGTCAGAAAAATAAACCACAAGAGAAAAGTTAGTGGTTTTTCAGCTTTTAATAAAGTCCTTTGGAGTGCCCAGGGGCCCAGCAGTGTCATCAACAATCATATAAATAGGAAAATACAAGCACTAGAAACCAGTCTAGCACAGATCTAGTGCCTCCCCATGAAATGGCTATGGCCATTGGAGGGGGGGGGAATGGTGTCTAACTCCCTTTTAACAAACTGCATAAACTAATTGCTCCAGGGATGTAGTGTTTGATTATTTGTAACACTCCTCCAAGTAAATAAATTCAACATCATGGCTTCTGCAACCAATTCATCTGTAGTTTTAAGTTAGTGCCCCCAGTAAAGACGCTAAGAAAACCATTTGGTCCATAAGATTTTTAATAGAGTGAACCTTTTAAAAACTGCCAAAAAAAACTTCTTGGCAGAAAGGAAAGTTATGTTGAGAAAAAAAAGGCTCTGTTACCACAGTTTGTATAAGTGTTTCCACATATTGCTATATTTCAAACACATAGTGGAGTCAAATAAGCTCAAGAATATAGGACACATGCTCAACAGATTTTTCCTTCAATTATGATTATAAAAGACAGAAAACTTAACCTGTGAGTGGGATGGGAGAAGGAGAATGGTGGTGTTTGCTTTGGTTGTTGTGTGGTTTAGCTTGGTTTTTTAATGAAGGGAAAATAAAGTATAAATGAGGTGATTCATCTTGCTCTAAATAAGCTTCCTTAACTTTGATAAAGGAAGTGAAGCATAAAGTTTTGGTGAAGTACAAATTTACTCTGTGCTTATATCCTTTTGAGTTGTTTGAGTACCGCAATTTTTTTTTTTAGAAAATAATAGATGTGGAGACAAAAATGACAAGTGCCAAGAATGAGCTTTGTACTTTTCATGTTCATTAAAATCTCCCTGATTCACAATACGTATCTCTTGCCCAACCTCAACTATGCATGGAGGCTGTGCCAGGGAAGGAAAGGCAAAGAACCCCTCCATCTGCCAAACAGGGACTTTCTTGGCTGCAGTCACACTTGTCGGCTTTCTTGGGGAACAGTTCAATTTAATATTTGAAGAGAGGAAAGGCAGACATGGAGATTGTTCCCTCTAGGAATAAGCCTATTGCACTCTGGGGCTCTTTAATTTTGCTGCTTGAAGTTGCCTTTTGTATGGATGTGATGCTATTCCCAAAGCCCAGAGTGGCACAAGTATTAACACCATCAGGTAGGAAATCACCTCTACATAAGCATTTTTGTGCCTCATTACTCAGAGCAGTGTGGGATTTGTTCAATCTGTGCCACAATATCAAATTCATTGATCAGGAGTGTGTGGGGAGCCAACACAATAGCTGATACTGCAAAATGGGGTACCAATCAATCAGCTGAATAAATGGAATGGGATGGAAGAAACAGAATGGAATAGAACAGGAAAGAATTGATTAGAACAGAAAGGGATGGGACAGAGTGGAATAGGACTGAACTGAACTCTAGTATCATAGGATATGATAAAGCAAAACATTTTTTGGTTTTCCTCTTCAGCAGCACCTCCTGGAGCCACCTTGTTCCATGAGATTGCTATTATCAAAAATAACCCTGACACTTGTGACTTTGGGCATGTCACTTAACCTCAGTTTCCTTATTATGATCCTACCATTCTGATCTTCTATAACGCAATCTCTCTGTTTGCCCTTTCCCCAAGTATCACTCTCACATTCATCCCAGGTCACCAGGACATGCTCAGGCCCTGCTTCCATTCTAAGATTCAAGGGGAACTAAGGTGGACCGAGGCAATCCTTACTTTGACTGTTCTATAGGCAATGGAACTGTCAGAGATAGACTGAGCAGAAAGACAAAACAAAATGAAGACTAATAAACAATCCACCTCTCTAGGAGCCAAAATCCCTGAGGTTAAGTCAGGCTGCTTTCAATGCAGGTGGCAAGTTCCAGACTCTGAACAGAGGCTTCCTATTCTTCACTAAAGAGCTTAGACATCTAGTGTGCTTCAGCAAAGGTGAACATGTACACATGACAGAGAATCTACTTTAGGGAATATTCCACTAGAGCAGGAGTTCTAACCAAGTTCTTAAACTGTTTGTGTCATGGAGCCCTTTGTCAGTCTGGTGAAAGCTTCTCAGAACAATGTCTTAAATGCCTGAGATACATACAGTTAAAAAAGAAAGTGATTATATTGAAATACAGTTATCCAAAATACTTTTAAAACAAATTCAGGGATTCTCAGATTAAGAACCCCTGTACAAGAGGGAATTTCCATCAGCTTGGCAATTATGGGATGCTGGAACAGTAAAAGGCAGTGAGTTTATTTCCACTGAGACAAAATGCCACAGGGCATCATGGTGTCTTGAGGTCACTCTCTTAGCTGCTGCCTTGTAATGTATTTTTCAATTAGTGAGCCTTCCACTTCTGGAAGATTTTCCTTGGGAACACCTTCCTTTGACAGTTTAGCATACTGCTGTCAAAAGGTATTTAATTAATTTCTAAACTGAAGTATTAAATCCACTTCAACATCATGACAAATGACCATCCAGTCTTGGCTTGATCAACCATGGTCAACTGAGAGATAAGTGATTCAATACCAATCGGTACCACCTTGCAAAATATCTACTTTCCCAGGATTAATGGTCTGCTAGGTTTATCAAATGGGACTGTACACAGTGAGGAGAAACCAAGTGCAAACAGGGTCATGGCAAGGGTATATCCATTACCATTAGTTAGGTGCAATGGCATATGAGCCTTGGTTTGGGAGCAACCAATTCTTGATAATTTTAAATACTGATTGTATAGGGGTTGAGAGACTAGGTTTGGGGGGAAGTCAGGAACTCAGCCATGACATGAACTCAGAAATACCTAAGCATAGCTCTAGGTGAGAGACAAATAGCCATTTGAAAGAAGCAAGTTAAACCAAAGCCAGTGTAGTGACTTAATTGCTAACTTATGTTTGCAGCATTGAACAAAGGATATTGTCCCCATACAGCCCATCTACTGTGCTCACCCTGCCCAGTTTGCTTTGTTTTACTGAAAATGCTCTGGAGTCATCCAAGGTGCTGATCAAAAATACTGATGCACGTTTAGAAAGGGAAAATATTTGTTTTCCTAGGTCAAAAACTTTTTCCTGAGTGAGTAACATATTAAAATTCAAGGATAAAGAGGGAAAGGAGAGTGAAATTTACAAGAATCAGCAATTGAGTTCAAGTGTAAGTTGATTAGCATCAGAGTATACTACTGGCTGTTTATTTCTTGCAAAGCAACTCTTCCCTCCCCTTGTTTGTAGGCATAATTGCCTCCCAAGAGATATTACTGAAGCATAAGTAATGAGAAGACATAGGAATTCATCCAGTTTTTAAAGTTCCCTGGATGCCTACTATGTATCGAACACTGGAAAATAACAAAGGAGAATAAATAGTCTGTACGTTTAATCTAATGGAAGAGACAAGACAGATACTCATGTTTAGCTTAGAGATGCAGTGGATAGAGTAGTGGACTTAAAAGCAAGGAAGACCTGGGTTCAAATCCTAACTTTATCACCTACTGATGGGGCATTGACTATTGGCAAATCACTTAATTTCTCTGAGATTTGGTTTCCTGATTTGTTTTAATACCTGCCATATTTTCAGAAAGTTGTTATGCAGCTCAAATGACACAATATATGCAAAGTGTTTTGCAAACCCCAAATAACTATATAAATAATAAACTAATAATAAGAAACAAAATAATAAGTTATTATAGAAATAATCACTATATATATATATATATCAGACCTATGATTTCAATTGGTATAAAGGAGTATCAGTGTGGAAATTCCTTCCACTAATTCAACTCATCTCTAACACACCTGTCTTAGAGAGTTGCCTTAACCACTGATTGATTCATTGAAATATTAATTGTCTACGTATACATGTAAGATATGTGAATATATATATATGTATATATGTATATATGTATATACAGAGAGAGAGAGATGGAATATATTCTCTGATACATACCATCGGTGTGACCATAGGCAAGTCAATTAACGTGTGTGTGTGTGTCTGTGTGTGTATGTAGTGTGAATGTATTGTATACATATAAATATATATATATGAATATATACGTATATGTAGCATATACTTATATCATTGTCCTTAATAGGACTGCACAAGAAACAAGAAACTATGCTTTTTTGAGAACTCTAAATCTGTGAAAACACTACCTGAGGTGGTGGTACCTTACTAAAAAAAAAAATCATACACACTTAACACTTAGTACCAGTTAGTAATAAGGCAATAAACTAAGGAAAGTTAAGTTTAAACAAATGATCATAGTTGATAACAGACTTCTAAACATGACCTAAATTAATGGATTTACTAATAGTCCTTCCTTTTTATGAGTCCAAGTTCTAGCCTTTGACCCTGATACATACATATAAAACAAGTGACAGAAACACAGATATACTACACATATGTGTTAATTATTCAAGGATGTGAACTACGGACTTGGTTGTTATTAGAATGACTGAAGCGAAGAAAGGCTTTCTGAAAGAGATGAGCCAATATGGGAAGAAGATGTCTTCCATCTCTCCTACTTGCCTACACCCACTAAACTTACTCTCTGCCTTTATTGGAGTCTTTATTTACTTGGTACTTCCTACTCCACCTAGATCATTAGTTCTCTTCTAACTGTTCAGATTCCCTCCTAACTTCCCAAAGTCAACTACTTTAATACTGTCCTCTCCAGCACTCTGGACTTCTTTCTCCAAAATTGATATGCTATTGCCTACCCTTTTCCATCCCCAGCCTCTGTTTTTTCTACTCTTACCCCTGGACCACAGAGCACTGCTGGAAGAAAATGCAAAACCATACAAAAC